CCTTGATGTACTTCTCGATGGCTTGGCGGGAAGAGCCGCTTCGCTCTTTCAACGCTAAGATAGCAGCTTTGATCATGTCTGCATAAGGTGGATGCTCAGCTGGCTTTTTGGGCGCAGCTGGCTTCTTTTTAGCGGGGGACTTTGCCTCGGACATTCTGTTTGCTGTAGAACTTTCGGAACTAGGAGTAACAATGATTGCCTAGAGCGCGCTAGGCAATGTTATTGTTCGTGTACGGACCACCGAGGAAACAGGGTTGTTGAAAAATGGCGGCGTCCAAACTGTGTTAGTTTGTTTGACATTTTGGTCCACAACGAGCTAATTCAATAACATCAGATATTTTCTAGTCAAATAGAGCATAGCTAAGTTATCTCATAAAATGTAGGTGTGAAGTAAAGTTTGATTTACTAAAATTAAGAAGGTAACTTCACGGGCAAAAGTCTAGAAAGCATAGAGATTTCAACGAGAACTTTGAATGAATGATGAAAGAAGTTTTGTTTCAGTCACCTTTCATTAGTAAATTTAATGTCATATGAAAGAAGAAGTCTTAAACCATGCAATTGTTAAAAAAAATGAACATTTTGATGCATATTCGAAGGCAGAGCGGCCTCTAAACTCAAACAAGAAGAACAAAACTACAACATCCGCCATTTTATATGTGACTGACCTTGATAAGAGGTACAATGCAAAATGTCTCGATTGAAGTAAATCACTTGAAGCTGGGGCTTACTTTTATGGAAAATTTTTTTGAAAATTAACATCGATTGAACAAAGTTCTGAGCTTAGTTTTCTGGATTACCCCGTTACGGATCAGCCAAACAAGTTTTTGCATGAATTGGTCGCGCGCTCTCGACTCCCGGGCAAGATCAAGTTTGACAGTATTCTCAATAATGATTACAGTAGTTTATTTACACCTGCGAAAAAAATCAACCAGTTGCCGATGTAATATTCTTGCTAAACGTTGCAATAGGTTTACTAAACGTGTGATGTATGAAGTTCAGAAAAAAGCGCTATTATAGACTGGATGTGAACAGTTAATTCAATTGTTGATCAATATTGAGAGTTTTATTTGACGACGCAAAGGAATAAGAAGACCCGGGTTTCTCGTCTAACTACCCACCTTAGGAAAGAGGCTTCAAGTTTTTATATATCATAAAATTACAGTAGGGATGAAGTCTTCAATTTTAAATGCATATGCAGCAAATGAGCTTTTTGTTGCATATTCAAAGGCAGAGCGGTCTCGAAGTTTGAACACAAAGTACGAGACTACAACGTCCGCCATTTCATACGTGACCTTGATAAGACCTGTGCTAAATGTCTCCAACGAAGAAAAGTAGTCTATTGTAACTAATATTCCATAAAGCATCTGAGTAAAGTTTCTAATTAAGAAACCGATCTGAAATATGGCGAAACGTTCAAATAAGCACTGATGATTTGCACAATACTAGCGCCAAAATCAAAGGGCCAAGTGAAGAATAAAACATGTTAAGGATGAGTGGGTCTTGCTTTTATAGCAAATGTTTTGAAAATGAACAGCGATTGAACAAGGAGTATGTGCATAGTTTTGTGGATTTGCCTTGTTACAGTTCAGCCAAACCAGCTTTTGCATGAATTGGTCGCGTGCTCTCGACCTTTGGGCAAGAACGGAGTCAAGTTTGACAGTATTCTTAAAATATGATTACAATAGATTTTTCACAAAGCAAAACATCAAAACCAATTGCCGATGTAGTATTCTTGCTAAACGCTGCAACAAGTTTCCTATATACGCGAGAAATTAAAGACACGCACCTGGTAAACGCGTTAATATATTTTGAGTTGCTAATGATGTTTACTTCGGAATATTTGGTCAGTAGAAGCTCATAAAATTGGTCATTGCCACTCAGAGAGTAGGACAATTTCAGATGGTATAATTTCTAATTTTAATATTTCCAGCTTAAGGCTGTTAAGTTGGTTGTTGAGGGACTCATAGTTTGGTCATTGCTTTTATTCATGTGGTGGCTCCTAAAGGAGCCGTTTGTGATTTGAAGCGAAGTGCACTTATGCTCGTTCTCCGCGGATTCGGCGGGCCAACTGAATGTCCTTTGGCATAATGGTGACACGCTTGGCGTGGATGGCGCACAAGTTGGTGTCTTCGAACAGACCAACAAGGTAAGCCTCGCTAGCTTCTTGAAGAGCCATCACAGCTGAGCTTTGGAAACGCAGATCAGTCTTAAAATCTTGAGCGATTTCTCGCACAAGACGCTGGAAGGGCAGCTTGCGGATCAAG